CTGGCAAGCAGACAGCCAAAGGCTTCTAAATGAGGTGATGGTGGAACACTTCTTCCGACAAGGAATGCTGGATGTAGCTGAGGAGCTCTGCCAGGTAACAGTGTGCCAACTGGGAGGGTATGTATGAAAAAACCAGGGGAACTCCTTGGAGTTTGCATTATTTGCAGAGTAAGGTTTTGAGTTTTCTGCTAGCTATAGATAGATTTTAAATATTTTAATTATTAGTGATGACTGCATTTTTTATTAGGAATTTTTTTTTAAGTAGTGAAAATTATAGTCCTAGAACTTGTTATCTGAATTGTTCTTTCCTTGTTCCTGGTGCAGAAGGTTGGTCCCAGATCATGAATCAAGGAGATCAGAAGAGGCAGTACTTTTCTTCATTTCCCCTTTTGATAGGGAAGTTTAGTATAGCAGAGAGACGAGGAAAAGGACAAAACATTAATGTTTGTTCTTCTGATCTAGAATTTTATCAGTGAATTTCAGACTAAAATTTACTTCATGAGCAGCGTTTTGTCTTTTATTTCTATTAGACATGAGCTTAGAGATCTTAGAACAGTTTGCCAAAACCATGAAGTCATTATAGGAGCAGCTGCCATGTATTCAGTGTTTACTACAAGCCAAGGCCCTGCCTTTATTCCTTGTAGCAACCCTGTGAAGTAGAAACTGTCATTCCCATTCTACAGATGAGAAATCTGAGATCTGGAGAAGTAAGTAACTTGCTCAAGGCCATACAGATTCTGCATGAAAGAACTGGGATTCAGTCCCCATATTCTTTTCTAAGCCACTATGTACAATTGCATTTTTGTTTGGAGAAATGAAAGACTAAAAGGATTAAATAATTCAAAAACAGTCTAAACCGAACATCTAATCTAAGCCTTTTTATTTTTAATAGATAACAGATTCCAGATTCTATTTTTAACAGATCAAATAAATGATAACTCAGATCTTTCTCTGTATCTTACAGGGATTTTATGTGTGTCTCTGTACAAATTTCCTAAATTGTGTCATTGAGGATTAAGTTTGTTTTTAAGTAACAAAGACCCCAAGTAACAGAGGCTTAAACAAAAATGAAGTTTACTTTTTCTCACACAGAAATAGGTAGTGAGACATCCACAGCATGTATGGTTCGGTTCCATTAAGCTCTCAGAGACCTACACTCCTTGTAGCTCTACTGTCCTGGACCACGAGCATGGCAGCCAAAGGTGCAACCATACCTTTGTATCCCAGGAAGAAACAAAGAGTGCATGCTTTTATTTCACTGGGCAGAACTTATATCTCGCAAAGCTATACCCAGCTTTATTTTCCATATGGTCATGTACCCTGCTGAAATTTGGAGGTTCTACTGTGGAAAGGGGGGGGGAAGAATGATACTAGGGGAAGTCATTAATCTCTGCCATAGCAATACATGTTAAAAGGGAATTATTTTTAATGGTTTGCCCCATATTTTATAATCTAGCAAAATGCTTTTACCACAATCTCTTTATTCTGGTTACCACTAACAAAAGTTCTTTCTGTTTTTTTTCAGGAATCTGGTCTTTCTGTAGACCCAAGTCAGAAAGAACCATTTGTGGAGTTAAATCGAATACTAGAAGCATTAAAAGTCAGAGTTCTAAGACC